CATTTTTGCAATTTTATGTCGAACATCTGGCGGATTTGGATATAGGATGAAGCCAGACACGAGAGGGTACTGAAATTCCGTCAAAAGGGCAAAAATAGGTCACAGAAAAATGTCCGCGCGTGAAACCGGGGAGGGTATGGCAGCATTTTCGCATATAGTCCTGACAATTAAGATCTGCATCCAAACGAAGCCGCAAAGTAAATACGACAGCGAGCTAGAACGTCGATAGGCTGCTAACTGAAAATCCGCTCGTTGCAAGGGTCCCCACTGTTCAGTTTAATTAAGCGTACTAGGCAGTGCCTTTGGAAAACAATGTAGAAAAGGACGTCGTACTGGATTGCGTGTGGTTGTTCTTGGTTAGGCAGACAACAACAAAATTACACGTTGACCGTAATCCAAAAGGTAAGGCAAAGTCAACACGACTGCAGATGGGTAAGGGCGTAGTGAGGAGTCTACGCGAGGTATTCACGACCGGACCACAACTGTACACCAAAAACGGACGTCAATAAATGATCATAAAACCCACAGAAGTTGGAGGTGTCATTAGCGCCATTGTAGTCTGGCTTTGAGTGTACACCAAGGTGGATTTCCCCTATCAGTTGGGGACCCTCCAAGACACGAATTACCGCGCGTCCTTACAATACTTTAGTGCGTTTGGTTGTTTATAATGAAGAATGCGCTGATTTGCCATGATGAGGAATGACCCAGTGTCACCTCTATCCCCCCCCATCTCTTGTCTATACCGTACTTCACCGACCTGAGTTAAGCTGACCGGAAATGGTGTCGGGGACAGTGGTTGATAAATGTAGACAGCCTGTTAATGCGTACCAGACACACAGGATGTCGCTCCTGACTCAAGATCTCCTCGACCTTAGCCAGTGGACGGGGGGTGGGAAGGCCACCGAGGTCACGCAAAGTAAACAGTGAAGCCAGACTTGATTACCTAGTCATTCGGCGACCTCCGAAGTCAGGACCGCTGGCGCGTCGTAATAAAAAGTTTTTGGGGCGCTTAATTCCTTATACTGAGGAATTTGCAAATGTACTTCAGTAGAAATCTAAATCCTCCTCTCTACCATGAGCCAGTGG